TAATACTTATTCACCATGCATAATAAAAATTTACGGTATAATAACCAAATACATAATCTCAATCACACAATTTTCTTCCTCCTTCTATATTCCTTATCAAAAGGTATAATCTGATTTTTGGAGTCCTTAAACATATTTTGTAATTTCTTCTTTCTTTTTTGATAGTTTTTTATTTTTTGAAGAAAAATTGTCACAAGCTGAAGTTTATTAAAGATTTAGCTTGAGGGATAGTGTTAGAGAATGCAAAATATCCTGCATAATTTCTTATTCATTTGTATCCCATTAAATGTAATTTATTATTCCTTCAACACGAGAACAGGACCTCTGTTTCAGCTTTCTAGAACCAAAACATGTTCATGTTGTAACACTGTTTATTCATTTACTTACTCCCTACTAGGTGAAGATGAGAGTTGACATATTTTCATTTAGTGTTTGTTCGCTACAGAGACCTTCAGCATTGGTTTAAACATGCCAGCCAAAACTGTTGTCTTTACCAATGTCCGTAAATTTGATGGAGACAAGTTTAGGTGGATATCCAGCGGAGAGTACATACAAATGAGTGGTCGTGCTGGTCGTCGAGGTATTGATAAGCGTGGTGTGTGCATCCTGATGTTGGATGAGAAGTTGGAACCATCTACTGCTAAAATGATGCTTAAAGGAAGTGCTGATTGTTTGAACAGGTATATATGGTGTTGCTAATGCTTCTCTTTTAATGGTTGAGAAGGTTACTCCAAGTTACTTTAAAGTTCCACATTCTTATTGTCTGATTGACCTTTCCATTTTCATCAGTGCCTTCCATTTAAGCTACAACATGCTGTTGAATCAAATGCGGTGTGAAGATGGTGATCCTGAAAATTTGCTTCGTAACTCATTTTATCAGTTTCAAGCTGACCGTGCTATTCCTGATCTTGAGGTTGGTTTATGAACAAAAAACAGACTTTTTACTTTAATCTTGCTTGAATTACAATTAATATTCAGAAACTTATGAGGAAGAATTAACCATTTAAAACTTCTTACTAAGTCAGACATGTATTGTTGGACCTGAAAAAGTTAATTTTAGGCCTCTAAATATGATATTTCTCACTACACAGCATGACTTTGCATCAATTGATGCGGAAGAGGACACTTATAAAAAACTCTATTTTGTTTTAACTGAGTTAATAAATGATGAAGCAAGAAGCTAGTAGTATATCTGCCTCTAACACATTCAGATATGCTCAAAGTTCCTAAATAATTTCTTGCTTTTTTTTGAGATAAAATAATTTCTTGCTTTGATATGTCCTTTTTAGATTTATACAGTCTCATCAATTCAACAGTACCGTCTTGCAGAAACAAATGAAAGTTCTTGAAGAAGAGAGAGATTCTATGATAATTGAAGAAGAAGATAGTTTGAAGAACTATTACAATTTGCTTCAACAATATAGAAGTTTGAAGAAGGATGTCCGTGATATTGTTCTTTCCCCAAAATACTGCATTCCCTTTTTGCGAGTTAACAGGGTCGTTTGTCTCGAGTGCTCTTTGACTGATGAGAAGTCACCATCTTTCTCAATTGAGGATCAGGATACATGGGGACTCATTGTCGACTTTCACAGAGTCAAAGATGTTTCTGAAGGTGAGAGAACTTAGAATTGCTTTTACTTGGAAAATCTTTTCCTATTTGATATTCATCAAAATGATGCACCAAGAATTGTGGAATTGTCCATGCTTGGTCCAGATGATGCAAATAGAAGACCAGAAGATGCAAGCTACACAATAGATGTTCTTACAAGATGTGTGATTAGTAAAGATGAGAGGGCGAAAAAAACGATTAAAATTCTCCCACTGAAAGGGCATGGAGAACCTGCTGTTGTCACTGTTCCTCTGTCTCAGGTTAATTGTGATCATGCTCTATTACTAATATGAAATTCTATTTTTTAGATAATTTTCTTTTGTGCAATAGGAGCAGTGAAATTTTGGTTGGGAAGTCATTTTATTTGATTTTATAGTTTTTTTTTTTTTTTGTGAAAATCATTTGCTAAGGAATATGCTCTTTCATGATGCCGTTTCTAGTGTCTTAACTGGTTTCTTATTTGATACTAGAAAGAATTTATCTAACAATTTTTTCTTCTGAATTCAGATTAAATTTTTAAGCAGTGCATGCATGAAGGTTTCTAAGGATCTTTTGCCCTTAGAAGCTCGAGAGAATGCTCTCAAAAAGCTTTCAGAATTTCTCCGTAGACATCCTCGTGGGCTTCCAATGGATCCTGAAGGAGATATGAAGGTACATTTTTTGTCTCTCCTCCAACTTAGCATGTCAATATCATTTCTGCTTTCTAAATTTAACTTAAGTGAGAAATTTATTTATTCAGATCCGGAGCAGCTCGTATAGAAAGGCTGTCAGGAGGTTGGAGGCGTTAGAGAGCCTATTTGAGAAGCATGCGATTGCCAAATCTCCACTCATTGAACAAAAGCTCAAAGTTTTACACATGAAAGAAGAGTTGACAGCCAAGATAAAATCAATTAAGAAGACTGTACGTTCTTCCACGACATTGGCTTTTAAAGATGAACTGAAGGCCAGAAAACGTGCTTTACGAAGGCTAGGGTAATAAACCTTTTCTTCAGAGAATAATTTGCAAGTACCTGCATGAGTAATGCTAGAGAGTACAACCTAGTTAACATACACATGCACGTAAATTTTTTCAGTTATCCATATGTATATGCTCTTCATTTATTTTGATAGAAAAATATAGAATAGTACAATACAGGAGGATTTGATGTCCTCCTAATCATAAAAAAAATGAAGACACAGGAGAAAAATGCCAGCTTCGTTTAATCGAGGATATGGTCGATCCCTATGTAAAGTAGACAGTGGGTAATCTTTCAGATGCCTATGTGCTTAGTCAATCCCTATGCAAAGTAGTTAATCCCTTGGGCCTTCTTCTTGTCCTGAGTAAAACGTTGTAGACTTTGCCAAAAGGGATTATTTAAGCAACATAATCTGGTTGATCCAAACTCATAACATCTCAATATAAGATTAAACAAGAAAAAGTTCCGGATTGGTTGTCTTGATAAGTTTGTGCTTGTGACAATCGTAACAAATTACTGATGCGA